CCTCAGGAGGACAACAGATACCGCTGTGTGACGCAGCTTTTCTCAGCTTGTTTAACTCCGACACTGAAGAGGAGGACTTCGATGGTTTCAGTGCACCGGAGGACGATGAATGAGACATTTTGTTGGAGCAGAAACTGTTAAAGAAAACTACCAAAATAAGGTCAGTTATTTGAACCGTATTCCTCCGAACTTTAATTCCTAAAGGTTTGCTTTTTATGTTTTGATGTTGAATTCACTTTTTTGACGACAATTTTGGGTGTACTGTTTTTTTTATGTTGGGGGTGCAGCTTATATGTTAATGTTCGCGGGGTTTTTTTTTTAAAACGGCGAGTGCGGTTTATACTGTAGTCCGGTGCGGCTTATAGTCCGAAAAATACGGTAGTTAACAGGACAGAAACAGAACTGATCCTAAAACAAGAGAATTATTTTTAACTTACCAGCCATTAGAAGGCAGACGATGCACATAGAAAATGCAACCACCATAACAATGGGCAGCTGAAGAAAAAAACAAACAAATAAAACAGAATTATTCATAGGTTTGGACCAGTCCCACTGCCTCCTGCTGCCACAGAGGTGAGTAAAGCTCTTACTGTGAGGAACTTCCAGTCCTTCTGCACACGGAGAGGAGTGGGGCCATCAGACTCATCAACAGCAAAGTTTCCCAGGAAAAGGTCAATGGCATCCTGAAAGCATCATTACTGTTAATAATCCTTCTCTGTAGGACGATGGAGTCCAAAATTACTTAACCTTTCCCAGACTGATGGGAAGCAACAGTTAACAGTTAACACACATCTGTACGCTCCAGAGCAGCAAGCTGACAAAACTCCTGCTTCTCCAGAAGTGATGGAGGGTCAGACGTGTGGGTCTTTATCAGGTTTATGTGCTGTGGCTGGGGTCATCTGTAAAACCTTAATATAACAACACACACAGACACTAAAGATGGAAAACATCTTGGTCAAAATCCTATACAGATGGTGAGAATATTTAAAAATATTTAGAAAGACTTATGTGGTAGATGAACCTAGAGGTGATAATGTTCAACTTTATTTAAAATAAAGGTTAAAATCATCATTTATTAGACCTGACTAAATTAGGTAAATACCAAAACTGTTTACAATACTTTTAAAAGCTGGAGTTTTATTCCTAAACAAAGTCAAAGATTCATACAAGCTGCTGTCTGAGTAGTTGTCAGCTTTTTTTGTAATC